AGCGTAATGAAACGTTGGGTTCCTAATGAAGTAGGTTGGTATATACATTAAACAGCAAAGGTGCTAATATACTACCTTACGCTAGTCCATTTTTTTGAGTCTCATTTTTTTTTCTTGTAGCTCCACAAAGTACCTTCTGTTTCTAATCATTTCAGCGATAAAGGTCGTTAGATTTTAGTCACTTGTTATATTGTACATTTTTTTGAAAAGGATTCTATGATTGATCGATGCTGCGGTCAGGTCTATAAAAACTGCGCTAGTCACCAGTTTCTTCTCATATCCATTTTAAATGTTTTGCATCAGGTTTAGTATTTGTCCAGTACATGACTTATCTCCTCTAAAGCCAGTTTGTTAATTTATAAATGATTTGTCCACTATGTCGATTATTTTGTTGAATATTAGTCGTTCTATCAGCTTGTATGTATGACATAATAGAGAGATCGGACGAGAGAGGGTCCCCTGCCTTTTTTGCTACTTTAAACCCTGTATAGGTAGGCAACTTGATTAGCATTAATGCATATTATTATAAGTTAAATCAGAGCAAACATTATTTTTGTCTACTCGATAATCAATAGTAACTTTAATTTTTAAATATGGACGATCTTAAACAATGGAAAATTGGAAAACAAATTTTAAATTTTTTTATATTTTTTACATTACTATGTATAGTTTCAAAATACATAAATATTAAAATACAATTCGTATAAACAATTTACTTACACACAATTAAAATATCATTTAAAATAAACTAGTACAAATCATTTTTATTATTATTTTTTAAAGACATGCAAAATCGATTAAATGAAAATTAACTACAATAACTTAAACTTTAAAGTCTAAATTACTAAAATGTGTTAGGTTTCAACAACTTTCTTAAAACAAATAAAATGTTTGAAGTGTATTTTATAAGTATATAGTATAGTATGTAGTATAAGTATTTTTTTTTTTTTTTTAATTTAAATGATAGGGTTGGTAGACATACTATCCGAAATAAATTACAGTTTGAAGAAGTATGATCAAATCATACGCTTTGGAAGAATAATAAGATATTTCTTCAAATATCTGGAATAGAAATGAATATACTTAGATTATTAAATACGAAATGGAAGTGTTAAAAGTCTTCTTAAAATGTTATTATTACATAATATATTAAATATTATTATGTAAGGTTTAGTAAATATGTTCTATTCAAAATGTTTAAAAATATATGTTACTTAAAGCTATATATCTATGATTTTTTATATTATTATAATTTTATAATTCACTTTACTTTAATAATTATTTGTTTAAAATGACAATAAAAATAGTATGCATAGGAGTTAGTGTATCTTATATCTGTACTTAGGTTTTTAATAAGTACTTTTTATCATATATGTTGGCCCGCAGACCTATTTCATAAAATGATTTCAGTATGATTACTATAACTATAAGAACAATTTGCTCTCATACCTTCCTGATAAAAAAACTTGCTTAAATTAACTTTTTTTTTCTTACTATACATCATTCAGAATTTTTTTTTAGGTAGTAAACTGTCAAATTAATAAAACTTACATTTTACTTAAATTGATGACTTTTATACAAATGTTTGTGTTGAATGGATAAATTAAATAAAAAAATATAATTTTTTTGTTATTAACTCCCTAAAATGTAGTATAACTGTTATTAAACTCACCTATCTTTTAAACAGGGCTTGTAGGTTCATCCATTTGGGTGTTTTTTTTTTTTTGCTACATTGGAAAACATGCTAAGTGAGATACAAATCTGTTTCATAACAATAGTATTAATTTTTTTTTTTTTTTGAATCATTGTAGAAGCTTCTTCTTTGATTTTATATTCTTTGTGAAGATTATGGGCTCTTTCTAACACGTGTTACCTGTATTTCATTAAACTCTTTTTTTTATCTTCTTCAATCATTTTTTCAGCACCACTTATACACGGCACACACATTTCAATGTCAGTAAACAAATATCGATATAATACATCTATAAACGAAACTTTATAATAACTCATGGGCAATTAAAATAAAAATAATATTAATAATAACTAAGGCTAGGATTTATATGGATTTACATGTTTTTTTCCTCAAGTCCAAAATGATTGGTTTTCACTATGTCTACGATTTGGCTTACTGTCGATTAAATAGAACCATTTTTATTTTGCATATTTTTGCATATTTTGAATATAACGCATATAATTGCATATTTATAGATTTTTGAGAATCTTGTTATTTTTGTTAATTTTTAAACTTAAAATTGCAAGTTTATTTAATTATATTTAAGTGATTGTTAATTTTAAATGATATTTATCTAATGAATGTTTATTTTTCGAATCGTAAATGTACTACATATAATCTTATCATAGACGACTGATATAATTATCATACATTATTTTAACACGTACTTATTTAGAGGTCTGCACGGGCTGACGAGAGTAAATTGTAAGACAGTACAGAAGTACTTCATTTCATTACTATGACTTATAAACTATATTATTATAAACTAATATTTATGTAATAATAACAAGTTATGATAAATCATGAATTATGATTCTAGGTATAATAAAAATTTGTTTTTGCATGTTATACAATTTTTTATTGCATATAAATCCTAGTCCTAATAATAACGTAAAAGCGAAGGATTGCTGCATCTACTGGAACACTAATAATAATAAAGCGAGTCTTGCTCGTCAACAGTTAATACGTTAAAACCTACATACATTGTATTATAAAAACATTTATTTTCATATTCACTGAAGTATTCAGAGTGAGTTTGACAGTGAATGTGGATAACATTTTTTTTTACAATAATTCAACAATTTTAAATAAACATAAGGAGTTATAACTTTTTTCTAGATGCAATTTTTAGTGCATGAACTTACGAACCTTGATTATGAACATTTTATTACTCATTAATCATAATACTAAAAAGGTATAAACATAAATATGCCTAATATACCTATTATAATTAAAAAAAATAATACTATTTATTATTCATAAGTATTAAAAATATAATATTTATTAGAGTAAATATTTTGAATACACATTTTTCATTAAATTCAACATATTTGAATAAAATCTATACTAATGTAAAAATAATCAATATTCATATTGATATATTCATATTCTATAAAATTTTATGGGCTTTTAAATCTTATTTGATAAATTATTTAATAATTCTTCAGTGATAGTGTAGTAATTAATATTTTTTATAATTAAATGTACCTATAGAATAAATCAGTGCTTTTCTAGCTTTTTTGTCATGGGGCCCCTACATTTTATGTAAAACTGTCAAGACTGCCTCCAATTTGATTATAAATGAAATAAATAACTAATAACTAAATGGCATATGTAATATAATATTAAAATGTTAATATATTGAAAAGTACTTTTATTGGATCCAATTATGTATAATATACATTATAATTACAGTTTTAGAAATAGTTTTGAAACTTAATGTTCCTTTATTCTAAACAACTACAGCTTAATGATGTTTGTAGACATTTTTAGGCATATATTTATGCTGAAGTTTGCTGAAATCATTATTTTAATTATCTTACAATGACTATATAATATATAATATGATTATAATTGAGTAAATTACTTCAGGCGATATTTAAAAAATTATATATTATACATAAAATAATATAGTATTTAGGTTATCATTTGAATTATTTGAGGAATAATTTGATTCTAGAAAAACAAACTTTCCAAAGACACTTAAATCAATTATTATATTTAAGTAGTTAATACTAAATACACTAAAACAGTTTAACATTCAGCACATTGCTGAAATATTAGTTTTATAAATATATTAAATATGATATCTTGCCTTTGATTCATGTAATTATTTTTCTGATGAAAAACAGAATATTAAACTGAATTAATAGTATTCTTAAACGTTTTTTGAGAGCAATACTATATTGGTTACCGATTGTTCTTTAGTTTCTCTGAACATTGAGTAGTAAGTCAAGTCAGGTTATATTTAAAATATTTTAGATAATTTAGATAATAAAGATGACTATTTGCCAGCTTAAAATTCTCTAATTTAGGCAGGTTCTTTATACAGTTAATTGATTAGAAAATAAAATTCAAAATATAATTTTTTATATGAATCATTGTATCACATAGAATATCTTTAAAACAATTATATTTCAAAGTTTCGGTATAATAAACGATCAGTAAAAAATAATCTCAGTTTATTAGTATTATTTAGTTTATTGAATAGTAGTATTATAGATATTATGCTAGACAATAACTACAGTTTCAGACATCCAAGCGTAGAAAATTAATACAATCTATGCAAGAATAGTCGAATAGTGTTTGCACTTGTTCATTATAGCAATGTTATGCAAATATTTTTCTATTGTAATTTCAATACCTATAACACTAATAATATAAACATAATTCATACACAGAGTAATATAGCAAATCAATAAACATTGGAATTTGTCTCTGAAAGCCTAAATTCTGTCCATTGAAAACACTCTTTTTCACCCATAAAATCACCAAAAAACAATAAAAATAAAGGTAATATTAATATTTTTATAATATTACGGTAAATCATCGAACACTTAATTCATTTAATTTATAAACCAGTTTTTAATACTTATGATTCTAGTCCATTATTTCTATGAAATTGTTTGTTAAATAAAACTACGTTCACATATAAATTGGGCCAAATTCCTTAAACCTCCATTTGATATTTCGTCCGTTTATTTTGAAACAATAATTGTAGTTCGCGGAATCGCAAAAATGATACAAGAACATACCATAACAAGTAATTTTTTATGACCCACTGAACCATAGAGTAAAGAATGTGCACTGAACACTACACGCGTCTTCCGCCGAAACGAACAATGCGGCAAGATCATAGTGGGGTTAATACGGTTGCATCGGTGGGGTGGAAAAATTGTCGACTCACTATTTTACCGAATGAATCACTCCGACGTAATTGGAATAATATTTATTTACGGATTACTCACGCCTTCGATAATCACCAGTGAAAAAATGATTTCGTCGTGAATTTGTATATTAAAATAATTAGCTAAGCGGTTGGTTTTCGTACTATCTGTGAGCAATAGAACACTATCCTCGAATGTCATTTATAACGACTACCTATTCGTGATTATCAAATTGTTATCAATAGTAAAGAGATCCGGGTGATAAGTAAAATTACATCAATGCAATAGTTTATTTAAATTTGCTCACTACATGTTCGGCAAACGATTTTGTCTTCGGAACGTTTCGTGTAATTGTGATATTAGTCATAGAACGTTTACCAATTAAATTAGCTAAGCACAATTGTTTGTAAGATATTTTGCTCAATTAACGCTGCCAGTCGGTCGGTTATCAATAAGGTCAGTCCTGTTGATTACGCCTGCAACTTGTTTGTTTCGCACTCAAAATAATCCACGCCACCTTAATTGTGTAGCAATGTCTGAGAACACGAGAAGTTCAGCGTTCAGAAAGATTGACGTTGATCAGTTCAATGAGAACTTCAAAGATGACGAACAATCGGAGTGCCCGTCAGTGGCTACCATTCCAGATGAATCAGAGATTACAACAATGATCAATCAGTATCCTTTGTCATAAATTATTTATTCTCTTTCATTATTTTACAAAATAAATTCTATGTGAAAAACCAAATTAATATTTGGGCATTGACTGGTTGGTGAGTAGTGAGTATAAACATTAATATTATTGTTATGGTTTACAACAATTATATTGGGTTCAGAACAATATTTAGTTTAAAACGGTTTTGATTCATCAAAAGTTAGAATTCTTCATTAATTCAAATATTACTTGTATTCTAATCAGTAAAAAAAAAAAAATATAAATTTTTAATAAAATAATAAAAATTAAAAGTTATTAAATGGTTAATACTCATAAATAAATATATAAATAAATAAACAAAAAAGTTCATACCTATAAAGAAATACATAAATGCTTAGCCTAAGGTATTATTATATTTGTGAAGTACGATTGGTTTCAAATTAAAAAATCATTATTAGGTTTATACAAAATCAATAAAATTATGACCAAGTATGAAAAAGTAAAAGAATGAACACATTGAGAAAAATTGATTGTGTTACATAGATTATTAACTTTAATAGGAAGGATTATTTAAAATTAATTCTTATTATTTTTAAAAATAAATATGCTTACTAACAGTAATAAATTCAATACAAACAAACTATAAGTAATTATTCAATCAATAAATATAATTATTAATCAAAACTATTTCCAAAATAATAATTAAATTCACAAAAAGAATGGTTAGTTATGCTTGGATCTTTAAGTCCTCTTATGTCTGAAATTTATATACAAAATTATGAAACCAATTATATTATTAATAAACAAAATATACAAGCCATATATAAAAGTATATTATAGATATTAGTTTTTGATTTTTTGCATTAAATAATTATTTTTTTTCTTTTTTATTTATTTATTTTATATTCTATATGTTTTCCCTATAATATAAAAATGATTACCTATGAGCTATTACTCATAAAACAAAACTATTTAATACATTTTCCTTTTGTCATTATTTATTATTATTATTATTAATTTCTTAATTAATTATTTTTACCTAAATATGTTGTTTTATGTTTTACTTTATATTATCTGTTATCTTCTAATATTGTTTTGTTTTAAAATATTATGTACATTCACTATATGTTATAAAATATTTGTAATTAGAATTTTATTCTGTACTAAAGAATTATTATTATAATACGTTGATGACACCTTAATTTTATTTAGATTCTTAAATAGACAAACAGAAAATTTAGTTAAAAATTTAACCAAAATAAATAAAAACATTCAATTTACATTTAAAATACAAATAAATAATAAATTAAATTTATTAGATCATACAGTTTCCATAATACATTATAAATTTGAATTTAGTGTTTACAGGAAACCTACACAAAACTCATGTTATAACACATGATTCTATTCATCCATATTCTCAAAATATATAATATAATAATTCAATATTCTATAGACTTAAACATATTCCATTAAATAAACATAATTATCGAAACTTGAGCTTGTTATATTATCTATACCTAATATAGCCCAAAAAATAATTTCAATTTAAATATTATTAAAATAATCTATAAACCTATTAAATAAAAAAAAAAACCGCTCACTAAATAATATTGTTACTATTGTAGTATGAAATATCAAAATAATGAATAATTTATTATTGTATTGGAAATAGTTTTGATTAGGTAATGATTATTTTTATTGATTGAATAATTTATTATATTTTGTTTGTATTGAATTTATTAGAGTTTGTAAGCTTATTTTATTTTTTAGATTAAAAATAACTCATTTAAAAAAATCTATCCTATTAAAATAAATAATTTATCTTTGTTTAAAACAACCATATTTTTTCAATTTACTCCTTTGTTTACTTTTTTATATTTAGTTGCGATTTTATTGACTTTGTATAAACTTAATGATGATTATTTAATTCAAAATAGATTAGGTTAGTTATAAATAAAATATTACTGTAGGATAAGCACAATTATTTTTATAATATATTTGTTTTTATATATACACTTTTTCTTTATTTATTTATATAATAATTAAATAATTATATATGTATGCATTACTTATATGATAGCGGTATATATATATATATATATATAACTTTTAAATTGAATAATATTATTATTATACTATTCTGTGACATTAATATATATTGATTAAACGATTAAACCAGAATTATATTATTCTTAATTTAATTAATTAATTATAATCAATTTACTCAATCATTTTTGTAATACTTAAAACTAAGTATTGTGTCATATAAAATTATTTTAATTTATTTTAGAGTAAGAAATAAAAAAATGTCTCAATACCATTCTATCTAGTGTTTATACTGAATCATAATTAGTGATAATTGACAAAATTCATTCAATGTATAGCAAATTGGAAAAGTAATATTATAATTTTAGTTGATTTTACTGTTTGTAGATTAATTTTTTATATTTATTAAATTGATTCATTAGATAAAATATGTTGCTAAAAATATAAAATTACCATATTCATATCAAAAATATTTTATTAATATAATTTTCTCGATCATTCTTGAGTTTCAGAAATTAATTTTATTGTGTAGTTAAATATTTCATGTTTAAGTTATTTATTTATTAAATGGGCAAGACCAATTACAATATACATGTAGAACATAAAAATATATATATAAATACAATTATTATGGAGTACAATATGTTAATGAATTAAATTATTAATATAAGATTATTATAATTATTGTAAAAACACATTAAATGTAATTTAATGAATTCATCAAAGTTGATGTTTAAGTGATTTTAGCATGAAGAAGGATAGTAGAGGAAGAACCTCTTTTTTTGATTTTCAATAAATTATAATTATATTAAATTTTGTATGAATTGGCTCTAGGTCAATAAAATAATGTTTTCAAATTAGGTTATTACTTATCGTATTGTAGTAATAATATAAATTACAAATATAGTTTTGTAATATTATGTTATAATAATAATATATTATATTATGAAAAAGACAAGCGTATAAATGTTATTGAGGGTTTTATAATTTAATTTCATAAATTATATCAATAAGTGATGTAAAACAATGCTGATGTGTAAAATAATCATGCGAATCTTTTTATAAAAGTGAAAATAAAATAATTGTTGAAAAAAAATATCTATAATAAATAAATGTTCAGATATTTACAGTCCTATGCAGTGGTGCAACCAGGATTTATTTTCGTGGGGATTATACACTTAAAAAAAAATTAAATTTGGAAGGTATTTGGTGAGGATGATATTGAATAAGATAATCTTGAATTAACTATAAATTTAGGGAGTTCACAACCCTTGAACCCATCTTCCTAGTTGTGCTATTGATCCTAAGTTTGTAAAAATGAGAAGAAAAATGTTTTTTTTTTTTTTCTGGGACCCAACTGATTCAGTATTGTTTGTTAAATAAGACTCAACTAGTACAGTATGGTTTTTTTTTTGCATGAGACCCGATTGAAATATAATTTGAATCTAAGATGTAACTAGTATGCATCAAAATACATTTTTAAAAAAGTATTGAATATTAATTAAACTCTAAATAAAATGTTATGTGGTTATGTAGGATAATTTGTTCTTATATTAAAAATTACTTATTTTGTAATGTTTATTTTCATTCAATATTTATTTATATATCATATATGAAAATAAAAAAAACGGTTTTAGTATGTACTTGAAATCAACCAAACTATGTTATTATTATATTTTTTCATTAATTTTAAATTACCAATTTACTTGTCAAATCTAACTAACATATTGAAGAGTATATAATATAATTAAGTTAATTTACTTAATAATGTTAAATATTTTTGGTAGTATAAAAATGTATAATGTATATAACTTAAACAAGTGTCATAAGTAACTGACATTTTTACTAATAATTTTATGTTAGTTTTTCCTTAAAAATATTATTACAGAGGTCGTCTTGCTGAAGCTTTAAAGTCTGCTTTGAAAAATGCACCACTAGGGTCAAAAAATCAACAATTGAGGGTATACATAATTTTAATAAATTTTAATTTTGTATATGATTTTTAATACTCAAATTTTAATTTTTAATTTTAGGATAATGCGTTAGACGTTGTTATGAAAGTTCTGCTGGCCACCAAATTATCTCAAATAGATGATATTATTACTCAATTGGATGTTGACATGGTAGATATACTTATGAAGTATATTTATAAAGGATTTGAAAAGTCAAATGAAAAAAAAAGCAGTCATCTTCTCATGTGGCATGAAAAAGCATATGTACGCGGAGGAGCTGGTAGTATTATCAGAGTGCTTACTGATCGTAAAAGAGTATAATATAACTAATAATTTATTATTATAATTATTATTATTAATAATATTTTTATAAAGAATTGTAAGTCACATTAGTTATATTGTAAGCTATTATATTTCATGATGCATGTAATTTTACTATTATAATTTATTAAACACATAGGTGTCTGCATTTAATTTTATTAAAAACATGTATTGTTAATTAGTATTATTTTATACTCGATCAATTATTTAATTTTTTAATTAATATTGAAATATTAAGTTATTAAAAATATAATAAAAGTCTTTAATAATAATTTATAAAAATAATATAGTTTATACATTTTGGCAATTTTTATATGATTTAAAAGTATTTAAATATGAAATATTGAATTATCTTCTACCTTTACATATATTTATTAATTTTTCTCTCTTATTTAAATTAATTATTTATGAAAATTTAAAAACCATGTATATTTCATGGTTATTTTATGTATCAATGAGAGGTAATATATTATAACTAATGACTCAATGCCAAAACTAACAACAATTTTAACAAAAAAAAAAAAAAGTATATTTTAAACCATAAATGTATTTAAAAACAACTGTATATTTATATAATATGTTGAAATAAAAATTCTAGCTATACAAGAATTTTCCATTAAATATAACTATAATTTTTTTGATAACTGTTTAACATAACTTTTTACTAGGTCTTAATAAATGAGGTAAATTATATAATGAGAAAAAATTATAATTTATCTTATATTATGTATGCAATAACATAAAATATGATATGAAATATAATATTATTTGAAATTGTATAACAATATAGAAAAAACCAACAGCAATAACTATATTATAGAATACTATGTGCTATTTGATTGTGTAATTAATAAATAAATATAATTGTAGCAAGTAGAAATTAATTTGTTTAAGAAACTAATTAAATACCTATCTTATTAAAATTCAATAACATGAGAACTGTGGTCACAATTTATTCTGTAATAATACTTAATACTTATAAATTGATTAATTATAGTTCAATATTATATGAATTTTTAAGTTATAAGTTATAACCAAGGCTCGGAACTTAAGGATTTTACATATTTTGTTTTTTTTTTTGTACCAATTCGCATATTTTGGCTTTAAGAATATTTATTTGCATATTTCATGGATTTAACAAAATTGTTTAAAAAAATGTATAGTTTAATAATAAAATATTAGATATATGACAACCAAAATTCTAAATTTTTATCGTTTGACAAAATAAATTAATTCATCAACGGCTATTATTTGTATTGCTCCGACTCCCAATGCAATAATATTATAATGTCTATAGCACCAAGAACTCGTAATAGTGACCACCGCCGGTCTGTATTTATTTTTATACACATTTACCACTGTATTAATATTTTGTAACATGACATATTCTAATCTTATAATCATAGATAATTCGTAAAAAATTATGTTTAACCATTAGGTTATCAGCTTATACACAAAATTATTTCTGTTCGTTATATTACTGCATACATCTGCATGCAAGCGACTTTATTGTACAGCGTACACTAGTCAGTAGTTAGTTTATTATTTTTTAAGCAATTATTTTCCAATTTTTTACTGCATATTATACCGCATATTTTGATGATTTTTAACGCATATTTTAGTACTTTTTAGTGCTTAAAGTTCCGAGTCTTGGTTATAACAAATTCGTAGAACTTGGATTTCTTTGCATTTACTTTTTTTTTCTTTATGTTCAAATATATTGTTTAGCAGCTATATCTAAGACTTAATTTAATCTTGAATAAATTGAATCAATTGTTTTTGCGTGTTTTAAACATAATGCCTATAATTGCATCTTTAAAATTGTTGAGAATCACACAAATTTGAAATAGTATTTATTTAATCAATTTCTTTATTATGTATTTATATTTTTATTTGTTAAACTGTCATCAATATATTACCTATTTTTTATCCTTATCTTAGTCATATGATGACTTAAAACTAAAATTACCTACATATATTATCTTACAAAATAAATTGAAGGGCATTAAAAAAACACAATCTGTAAAAATATCAAATATTAATTGCATTGTTTTTTTTTTATAATTTTTCTTTTGTCAACAATCATTTGTAATTGAAAAATTTGTCATAACAACATATATTTGTGATAAAAACAGATATATTTTACACATATAAGTATTATTTATTTATTGTTGTATGATATAAGTATGCATCAGCCCGTACTTACACTTTTCGATAACAATAAATGATTGATAATATTAATCGGCGACCACTGTATTTCTAAAAACTTATTTTCTTTATCAATAAATTTAACTTCAACTTATATTTAAGAGCTATTATACAAGATATATTTTCAGTTGTTCTAATTTCTTATTAGTTATAACTGTAATTTATTGTGTTTATTGCCGGTGCATAGAGAATAATATAATTGTATCCAAATGTATGTAAAAATTATTTATTACAAGTAACAATGTTTTTAAGAAGTATCAATGTGACTATATCCAAGTTCTTATTTTCAATGTCTATTTATAAATCATGAATAAATTACATTTTAATTAAATGTGGTAACTGGTACTACGGAGATCCATCGAAATCATTAAATCAATTTAAGGATTGTAGAAAAAAAACTATACTTTCCAACATTTTGTAAACTTGGTGTGTATTTTTTTAAACATACTTACATATTATTGTGATGATTGAAGGGCACTCGAATTAATGTAACTATTCAATTAAACAGAAATTTAACAGGGTTACTTTTTCAAAATAAAATTGGCCAATGATATTGTATCAAGGTTTATAATTATGATGGAATTTCTTGAATTTGATATTTAGGTAATTCTTATCCTCTTTATATAATTATTTTATTGTACTATACTTTCATGAATATTTTACATTAAGTATACCATAGCCTTAAATATTTTTAATTAAAAGTTTTCATTGACACTTAATTTTTCTAAGTTATAAGAAACTTGTTTTATATCTTTATTTATGATTTTATATTTAGTCATTAGTAGATTAATTTCATTGTTAAAAAAATATCATTACAGAAATTAAATTTGTTTTAATGAAGAATAAAATGGTGAATATATTTTAAATTTAAAATTATAAACCATTGATACTATATTTAAATTATAATAGTATAAATCAAAGGTACTAAATAATCAGGAAAATTTGAATTCCAAGTAAAACACAATGGTCTTGCTTAACAGTTTCATTATATTTAATTGAGACTAGACCCTTTATATTAACCCTTTTCATACTTTATTCATATGTTAAAATATATAATATGACAATTTAATAATATAAATAATAAATTTATGTAAATATTAAGTTTTTTGTATAATATTGAAGATAGTTGAAAAGTATGAGTACCAACACAATAAATTACCATAAGTGAAAAAATCAAGTAATATGAATTCAAATTTACAGTTACCATAATTTTTCATCAATGTTATTATTTATTAAGTAATATTTATTACTTAATACTTGTTGTTATGGTATTAAATAGAAAACATTTTTGAAAATTTAAGGATAAATAGGAATTTTCTACATTTGCTTGAAAAATTGAAATTTAATTTAAATATAAAATAAAAATATAATATAAAAAGTAGATGTATTTATTTATGGATGGTTATTTATTTTACAGTAAAAATTTTGAAGTATGAATAGTGTTTATATTGTTTCAAATATTCTAAATATAAGCTATTCCTTGTTTTTTCTTCATATAACACCAAGCAAGAAAATAAAATAAAAATATTTTTTCTAACAGTTTTACTATATAGATAAGGAAATTATTAATTGTAAATTATACATATGGGAAAAAATTAATTTCTTATATATTAATTTACTATTCACTTATCTGGATAGTTAAGTATACTTTATTGAATAAGAACTATAAGCTTTCTTGTTCTACTCAGATTCGTATGTATTAGAAGAAAAAAATTTCTTGATTCTGTACATATACTAAAATTACATCATAAGTATCTTAAATATACATTAAATAATAATAAGTTAGCGATAATTCAGAACTATAGCTAAAATCTATCAAAAGAATTCAGTAAATATATAACAATACATCAGTGTAAAAAACAATGATTAGTTAAGAATTTGTTGTATGCATTTTTCTCTTTGAATGCATAGATGAGGAAGATGGTTTTGAGTTCAAAAACGAATATGTTCGAATTATTGGTTGTTCTATGCTTGAATGTTGTAATATTTTATAACAGTTTTCTAATGCACACATCATGGACTGCGATGTTGCTTTAATTATCAGTAAGTCTGGATCAGTATTCCTTAAACGTGGACCTATTATCAAAAAAAAAAAAAAAAAAATGATTAATATAAATATCTTTTATGATTAGTTTGATAGCCGATTATGATTTTTAATAGCACATTTTCATTAATCTTTATTTAATATATTTATTACAAAGTATTATATGATACTAAAAAATGCTACAAAAATTGTTAAATTTGAAATTATAGTTAAAATAAAAGTTAGTTGTTTCAATAGGTAATGAATAAAATGTATGCAACATCCAAAGTTATAATAGTAATAATTAAAATTGATGTTATTTTGAATAATAAATATTTAAAACAATTATATATAATATAATAAATAATAAAAATAAAAATGTAAATATATATATTATGGATTTATTATTTTGGTATTGAAATGTAGGTATTTTTTAGATAAAACAATAATTTAAACTTGATATTTTTATTTTCATTATAAATGCATTATACTCATATTTTATATTTGATTTGAATTACAACTAACCTTGTGATGGTAACTTTTCTATGACTCTAGCCATATCAATGAAATTGTTTTCTGCTTGAGATAAATACTGCCGTGCATTAGCCAATGATCTTTTAACACCACTTGGGCAAAAGTCATAGACATTATCAGTTTTTGAATATTTTTGTACATTTTTCTTTAAACATAAAAACTATTAACATTTTGATAAGAACAGGTAAATTATTTTTAAATTTATTAAATACTTGGGAGTGATATTCTGCAGTAGCTCTTAAGCGATTCACCCAATCCTGTCTGGCACGAGCATCAACAGCTCTTAACTTATAACATTCACCATTCCATGAGTTCACTGAAAATGTGTTAGAATCTTCATCACTAGGAGATACAACAGCAGATTCCAAAAAAATAAATCCTCGTGGTTGTAATTTTGTATCATTTTCACTCTGAATGTATAAAAAAAAAAAAAAAACATTAAAAAATTAATAAATAATTTTTTATTTAGGTTAGCTATATAATTAAGACAGATGAAAATTGAGTTAGTGTTACATAAGATATAATACCTCTATGCGTTATAGTGAATAAATAAACAAATAGTTTATATATAGAAATAAATAAATGAAATCTTAGCCCGATTATTATTATGTTTGTAAAGTATGTACAATTTCGAATCAAAAATTCATTATCAAGTACCTACTAAGTTACTTAAAATTGCAACTCAATATGAAAAAATAAAAGTCTTTTCTAAAACCGAAAAATTTATTTTGGGTGTTAATATTTCTAGGTTTGTATTGATATCAAAATGTATATTATGGTTATTTTCTAAAACATGATAAGCCAAATTTGAATCAGAGGCAGTTTTTTTAATTTTATTTCAGAAATGTAATATTATTTTACCAATATACAATTTATTATAAATACATTTTACTTTATATATACCAGCATTTTCAAAAAAAAAAGGAAATTTTTTGTGAAGTTTTTAATTTTATTATTTATATGTTTAATTAAATTATTATTAGTTTTAAAAGCAATTTTTAGATAATTAGTATTATTGTTTAGAATTTTAGCGAATTTGTTAAAAATATTATTTTGATATTTCATTCTACAATAGTTCACTATTTTATTTGATGAGTTGTGTTTTATTTTTTATTTTTTTTTTTATAATATTTAAATTTAATTTATTCTAATGGAATATACTATAGATCAGTGGTATTTAACCATTGCGCCATGGCACACTGGTATGCTGCAAGTGCCATTGCAGTGTACCGCAATAATGAAATATGTAGAGGTTCATAAAATATTAAACTAAAAAATTATATTTTTTGAAAATTATGTGGTATTATAGAATCAGTTTGAATAGGTTTCATGTAAATACTAAACTCATATTTTTTATCTATTAATTTATATCTATTTATTTATATATTAATTTACAAGTATTAACCATTTAATAATTTTTAATTTTTATTTTATTAATAAATATCACTGGAATTGTATTTATATTCTTAAATTTAGTATACAAGGTACATTAATTATTAAAAAAAAAAAAAACCAAAAACACAAAAATAAGTTATGATTGTAATAGTTGTAAATATATCAATATGCCATAATTACATTAAATAAATATATTAAAGTAAATTTAATTACAACACTTCCTTACTTATCATTAATTCTTGTTAGACCAGCTCAGCCTTATAATATTTAACAAAAATGTATTACATCTTACATCATAATAGGAGCAGAAGCTTTATAGTATTTGCATATTTGTTTTGCGCAATCACAAAAATAGTATGAAAATAATACATTTAATACTTTCATAAAGTTAGTTTTGAAATTTTATTTTACATATAAATGCATATTTCTTCAATTTTATACTTTTAGATACATATTGTAAATAATTTATCATTTATCAAAACTTTTCTATCAATGCCTTAATTTCATCTAAAATTAATCTTAAGTTTAAATTATTTTAATTTTTGATCATAAAATATAGTAGGTGACTATTTGCAAATATATTTTTTCCTAGAAATATATCTCAAGGGATTGGATTAATTCTATTTATAAATATAAGGAAGTTAAATTTGCGAATACCTTTAAATTCTAAAAATTCTAAACCTATAGATAAAAAAAGGTACAGTTTCTAATGTTGACATACAAAAATTTTTTTTAGTCCAACTGAAAATTTAATATTTAGGATTTCTGCTAGATACAATAACCAGTTTTTGACACAAAAAATATTCCACTATGTAATATTATCGAAATAATACAGTCTCTCGTTTAGTAGGAAGAAAGTCCAAGAAAAAATAGATGATATATTGAAAAAATATATTAGTTTTAAAATTAAGATCTAAATTTTTAATGATAAGGAAACTTAAATGGATGGTCTATCTGAAATCTTAATACATTTTTGGTCTATTAAATATATGTCCCAGAAAATTACTTCAATTTGAAAAGATCATTTTCAATATTCATAGTAGTGTTAACTGACAATAGACAATAATTCCAGTTTGAAAGAGTTTAAACAATCATTGGTCGCTCCATGCAATTTTGCACTATTTAAGGTAAAAATACTATCAACTTAATTTCTTCAATTTTAATAATTTATAACTACTAAACAACTAGGAATTTTATTTTTTAGAATCAGAAAAAAAGTTATAAGAAATTACATTTTATCAATAATTTTGTTACTTATATATTTTTAAAAAAATCCGTTTAAAAAAAAATATAAAAGCATATTTTTAGTTCATATTATAGGATTTTTAAATGCATAAGTGCTTTTATATTTAATATTTATTTAGAGCTACAAGACTTTTGTCCTAGTTATAATATACCAAAAGTGATCAACTTTTTTAATATTACATATTTATTATAAGATTTGAAACTAATTGATCGTTATTACTTTGAACATTTTAATTTAATTATATAACACAATAATTCTATCAGGATTTATTGAAAGTCGTAGAACCATACAATAAATTATTTACCAAAAAGTAGCTTAGTGTTCCTTCTCTTGGGTCCAGTATGAACCATCTATGTTGCCAGCCTTTAACAACATTTGTATACTTGTACAGTTGTCCTTCTTGTGTTTGAGATAAAAATTCAACACCGACTGTGTCCATAATGATGTAGATGCAGGTATTTCTCGTGAATATAATCCAAAATATACGGATGTACACACGAGAAGCAAGAGTGCGGATATTGAACGTAGGTACGTATCGGCCGATCGGGTCACCTCAAAATCTACCGTCAAGAAACTATTATCAAACTATTAACCATTTAGCGTTGATTTGCTGATCGTCGTTTCCTACAAAAGCGATCGCCAACCAGTTATTTACATCGAGCATACACTCAGCAAAAATCGTAACCTGCGCACCATAGTGAAAATATTTATGAAAAACAAATGTTACCGCACCACTGGGTTCAGTCCGTCGTCTTCATCGGTATTGTCATCACTAGATGATAACAATTTCTAACAGTAACAATATTATTCAGCGTCCGCCGGCTTCCTACCACATAATAATAATTATGTTGTATTCAATATTAACGACGCATACGTCACACGGCACACACAACAATAATTGTTATCATCGTTGCGACAAACGACTCATTAGAACATATATTGAAACATAAATTATTGGATTATTTCGAACGTCTTATGTCTTATCACACTTATCAGTAGTTGTTGTAGCCATAGACCTATTATATAATATTATATATTAGGTTTATGGTTGTAGCATATGATCGACCTGCCGGTGACGAGGAGTGACTATTCCAATTATTATTAGTATTAATAATATTATTATTGAATAGAGATGAAAAGCTTAGTTCATTAGTTCACAGTTCATTCAAATGAATAGTTCAAATGAACTATTCGTTTCATCACTATTATACTCAGTATAAGATCACTCGTATCAAGCACCGATTACACCAAAATACCGAATGGAGTTTTATTTTGTGGTATACACATTTCGTTCCTAACCTTACTGCATTTGGCGCACTCGCATATTCCCCAGTCCCCACCTCTACAACAATATTGCAACGTACTACGTAATACCATTGTTTATAATTACTAAGTACTTCTGTTGGATAATACGTTCCATCGCACATTTGCGCGTCGGGGCGTCGTGCATCGGCTATACGGCTATGAAAATGAAACATTCAAACGTACAATATTATGCACCACTATCGAACGTATATTATCTATTTATGGGAATGGGAAAATGAAAATTTAAAAATAGCTTGATTGAATGGAAAATAATGAATAATTTTAATATTATCAAAATCATTTACTCTATGTAGTGGCGTATCCAGGGGAGGGGTTAGGGGGTTATAAAAATTGGTTAGTATTGAATATACTAATATACATATATATATATACTTCAAATATTCATACAAATTCACACAGAACTAGCTATTCACCAATTTTCTGAGGGGTGTCAGTCGACACCCCTGACCCTCCCTGAGTGCGCCACTGCATATAACACATCAAAAGAAGCACTTGACATACGGAAATAACTAAAAAACTTATTTTTATCATTTCGTAAGTCATTAAATAAATTATAAAATAATCCCACTTCCTCTCTCCGAGCATTAATAGGATGTACCCAAAAAAATACGATTTTTTGTTGTCTTTTGCGGCGACAATCGTATAACCATAGTGCAATAATTTGTTTGTCAATCATTATAACAACGCGTGACTTGGTGTTATAAAATTAAACCTGTACAAAAGTTTACTAAGCATAGGAACCGTGTATAAATCGTGTTTTACCGTACGTTCAAAACCGTATATTGTGTAAAGAGCCAATAATCCGATTTTTGCCGTACGGTCAAAACCGTGCAGTGTGAAACGAATCTAATACAGTTTTTGTACAGCAAAATACTTCTGATATAAAAAACTAACAATTGACATCTTAATTTTTGATTTCTAAAATAACACATACTTCTATTAAAACCTTATTAAATCGTTATTGTTCTTAAATAGTAATATTTATTATTTAAATTTAATTATTTTAAAAAAAAAAGTATGTATATTGTTTAATCTATGAAATATTATAAACATTTATTTTATTATATAATTAATTTACATTTATTTTATAAAATTACTTGGCTTTTGGTTAATTTAATACAGTCATACATTTACACAAAGGATAAGTAAATCTAACATTTAAATAAAATTATTAGGTATTATTATTATTTTACACGAATTGTTTTTTTTTTATATAAAAATGTATTGTAGCATGTATTTAAGCGTTGGAAAATGGACACTTCAATATATAAACTATAAAGTATAAACAAAATTGAATATATAATACGACGTATATTTATACAATTTATGTTGCGCATATTATAGACAACAAGTAATTTGTTGATTATTTCAAACGCTGCACTTTTCAGTTAGCGGCTTCGTAGTTTTGTATTTATTTGTATGTGACAGGTGACATTATAAAAACGCCAATGTCCAAAACTAATGTGGCAAAAAAAAAATAAATAAAACAATAAGATTGTAAACTGAAAAGCGTGAGTACTGCGTAATGCGTATGAATCGTCGAATACAATACACGACACACGAGGCTGGAAAACAGATTGTATTTGTTGTAGTAATTCGGTTTGTCATCGGTATTCGGTACTCGCCACTCGGTAGGTACTACTGTAGTAGTGTAGTACTGTAATAGCCAGCCACCAGGTATTACATATTATAATATAAAAAGTACCGAAAGGAACAATAGAACGAGTCATTTAGAATCGTTCCTTTTGTGAACCTGGAACGAAAGGAACGAAAAAATCCCATCACTAAGTAGTACACAGTTCAGTAGTAGTTCACATTAATTATGGGCAATTAAGTATTTGTTATCTAATTGTAAACAGTTATTTAAATTTACCGGATTTCGAACAACGAACCACAAAGAATTTTTAAAGAAGTTTGCGAACTATTTCATTTCTATAATGCTACCAATTTTTTTCGAACTGTGAACTATTAAGTTACAGGTACTGAAAAAGTTCAGAATAGTTCATCAAAGTGAATAGTTCAAATAAATTATTTGTTCACGAACTTAACACTCTATTATTGAACATTGAAATACTAAGTATACCAACTGTATAGTCGACGGTTCGTTTGCGTGACGAGAAAGAATAATCCGATGGCGATTAAGTGGAAATAACATTAACGCATTATTGTTGGATAAAGATAGTATCTATAATTTTTACACTTTATATAGTGTTAGGTTATTACGTTTCTTGGGACGACGTAACAAACAATGCATACTTGCATAATTGCGTGCCATTAAAAATAATTATTATATAATAATATATGCGTTTAGACAATGAGATTGTTTGCATTTTACAAAATATATAAATGAAAAATGAATAACGGTTAAGAAATTAAAATGAACATGGATGAAAATTTAAATACAGTAGTTAATAACCAGGACTCGGAACTTTATGTGCTTAAGATCTTAAAAAGATGTAGGTACTAATACAAATTTAATTTAAAAAAAAACGTATCTTGCACATCATCCGTGGTTCGTCGATTACTGAGTATTGGCAAACAAAATAATACTATGAAAGAAAGATAAATAAAAATAAAATGGGTTCCCGAATAAAATAAGTGGAATAACGCTATTGAGTATTGCCTTGTCGGCATTATTGCAGACGAATTCACATAGATAAAAACTGATTTAGAATGAATAATTTATCAACGCGTTTTGTTTTCTAAATAACATTTTTAAAACCTGTCAAAAATGAAAATTTTACATTTATATTTTTGATTAACAAAAAAATTGATTTACGAGTAAATTATCAAAAATTATTTTAAAATATGCAAGTTTAAATCAATACATTTAAAAAATATGCAAAAATATGCACAATAAACTTTTAAACTTCAACTCCAAACACCACAACATAAATTTGTACCGTATCAGATTTATTCTATATACTTCCCGAACAAATATGCAAATGCATAAAATCCCAAGCCCTGTTAATAACACAAGTATATGAAATAAATGAAAAATTGCAAAATTTGTAGACGCAAAAAAGGTGTCAGGAATTCAACAAAATGGATTAAATATGTCAAAAGCTGCAAGTCTGAAGTGACAGCACAAAAACACAATTTGACAAATACGAGTATTTCAATCAAAGATTTTTTTTTTTCGTCAAGTCATGGTAATTAAAAAGTAACGAAAAGTTTTAAATTTGAATGTTTTATTTTATAAGTAGGATGTTTTTTTAAAGATACCTACTTATATTTTATTTATTGTTAAGTGCGACATAATAAGTATTTATAATCAAATTATCTCATTCCATAATGCAACTTCAATATCTTTGTTATCATAAATATGTATTTTCCTTTTTCTTTTTCAATTGTTACAGTCGTTGTACATCTTTCAGATTTTACTTTAGCAATGTATTCTGGAATCTTGAAAGACTATTTATTTTATAAGGATTTAATATTAGAGTTATATTTAGCTTAGACCAGTGGTGCCTAGGAACGGATCTAGAGGAAGAACCAAGGGGCTATGCTTCCCTAGACGTTTTGAGAACGACAGCGAATCTAATATTTACGTGCGTTTAAAACGCAGAATGTGCAAATGCTTTACTTGAGCTAATTCCAATTTCAAATAATTAATAATTAGTATAAACTGCATTCGTCGTTTACAATTCTAATAACCAACTATCAAGGGCAACAACGGTGTTCTGTGGCCAGCGAGAATGGGGAATACCGTTTGGTTTATTAATTTGTTTGATTGCTGTCTTTTATGCATTAATATTTGATGAAACTACTGACATTTCTCAAAAAGAGCAATTCAGTTTATCAATAAGACATGTTTTAAATAACCGAATAAATAAATAGTTTTTAACATCCGTTGATGCTTATCAGTCAATTTTAGATGAAGATTTAATGTCTTCTGGAGAGACAAAACTTACTGGCCAAGGTTTTGGAAACATTGTATAAAACACCATTAAATTTATTATTTATTTAAAATATTGCGTTGGTGTTGGAACGGATGAGTGTGCTGTTATACTTCAAAAACTATTGGAGCTGTTATCACAACTTTAAGGCCGGCCGCACATAGAAAGAAACCCATTTCGTGAAACTGATTTCATAAAAATAATTTTATGAAACTTGTTTCTTACTCTCTACACATCAATGCAACTAAAAATTAATTTCGATAATGTTGTCCGACGAAGAAGATGTGTTATATTTTTTATGTGTTATTTTTATTATTTTTGTGTTAATGTTATATTGGTGGTTACGAAACAAAAAACGGAAATGCAGATATTGGATTCATCCACTTATTCGTGATAGACAACATAGTAATTATGTAGTTGCAATAGAATTTGCAAGACATTGATACTAATTATTAAAGAAAGAACTAATAAAAACAATGATATTAGTTCATAAAGTTATAAGAAATTAAAAAATAAATATTTTGTAGATTATTAAAATATAATTTACTTGAGTTCTGTCCTAGTGTCATTAAATACGTTAAGCCGCGTATTCGTGTAGTGTGCTATTGAATAATGATGAATGATGACTTTTTAATTTTATCGAAAAATACATTTCTATTTTGTGAATATAGAAATAAATAAAACAAAAAGAACAAAAATTCGACACTAGTACATAACGTTTTCAGTGATTATTTGAATTTTGTTTACCTAACTGGTAAAACCCTTGATAAATACGATTAAAATAATAATAAAACACAAAATTATAATGGTATAAAATTTACGAAACTATTTCATTAAAACCAAAATCACAAATTTCATGAAACAATATTTGCGTAACTATATGAAATTTTGATTTCATGAAACTCAGTATGCATATCCAATGATTTTCGAATGTCATAGTTTCATGAGACAAAAGTTTCATGTTTCGTAAAACATGTTTCATGAAAAAAATTTCCTCTGTGCGGCCTGCCTAAAAAAATGTTGTTATGCAGTAAGATGTTCATGTTATAACCATGCCCTGAATAACTCATTTAAAATTGGTTGCTTTTTGAAATTCAATTGCATTTTTAAAAAAAATAGTTTCATTTTTTTAGTAGATTAGCTTAAAGATATGCTACTCTCAAAAATAAATTAAACAAGGGATTATCAGACTTACCTATGTCAAACTCGATGGCTTGAACAACATGATGGTGTATTGCAGTTCATATCCATTCTCCCAAATGCAAGTTAAATAAAAATGAATAAATAGTATTAAGTTAATTATAAATAATATAAACATCCTATTTAAAAGTATATAACATAATCTATATGGCAAGAATACATAAATATTATTTGCACTTTTTTTATTACATTCTATAGGATATGCATGCTTTTATTACATTCATCAAATACTAATTGTGAAGTTAATTTTAATTACAGATTTTAGAAGCTCTTGGAAGTAGTTACAAGTGATATTAAAAACTGTTTGTGTCCAGATGTAATTGGAGCATTTGATTTAAGACTATTGATACCAAAAATATTTATTGGAAAAGAAAAAATATCATTAATTAAAAATATTGTTGATGTGGTTAAACAGTTTTCACCTATTCTATCATTAAATCATGTAGCTTATTTACATATACAAGGTAGGTACTATCTTATTAATAGTATATACAAATAAATAACTTAATGTTGAAAACTAATTAGAGATAATTTTTCCAGGTGAACTTAAACTTTTAATAAAACAATGGCAGAACAATAGTGTTTTAAATGGTTTAACAGTCTAAGTTCAAGTTATTTATTTGTTGTTAGTAATTTGTTATTTTCTCTCTTCTTCTTGTAATATAGGTGGGGTAATCTAGTTAGATTTAAGATATCTAGGGAGGATGGTTATATTTATTTTATTAATTTTCAATATTCAACTATTGTTTTCAATTTAAATATAAATATTTTTTTTTTTTTCGTAGATATGCGGTAATGCTAATGAAAAACAATTATGCTGCTTTTACATCCATGAAAAAAACTAAATACCTGCTAGATATAATAATTTAATTTTGTTCCTTATTTATCCAAGGACAGTATACGCAACTTGATAGAGTTCTAAATATTTTATTAGAAGTGCTTAGTAACCACTATGTATAAATCAGTTCTTGATACGTTGCATGGAACGCATTTTGCGATGTACGATGTTCAAAATTTAAACACCGAGAAGTTAATTAGATCTTTCTAGGTATGCTAGCGCCCAGTTGAGTAACTTACATTTCCGAATTCTCTAGGACATTGAGTTATAAAATCTCCGAGAGGTTTAAATGTGACCATCTTCGGGATGTTAACTGCTTATTTACATCAGTTTTAATTTTTTTGGTATGTATCAAATGTTATTAAAATATTGAAAAAAAATATATAATATATTTTTTAATCTTATAAAAATATAATATTTTATAGCTATCAAATAAGCAGCACAATAATTATTATTCAAATATAAAATATTATAAATTAATGTACACACCTGATTATTGGACCACAGCGTTGCATAATGATGGTCTAAATGACAGGCGGAGATGACACACACGACGTATTTGATATTATTCGGATTATAAGTTACTCGCGTTAAGATGGTAATTTGTTAATTGTTTTATGCGTTATAATTGATCATTGATGTCGTGAGCTGTATCTCTTCCAGTTGTGCATTAATGTATTCATAAGAGCCCATTTTGTAAAAAAATGGATAAGTGTAAGTAAAATGTATGAATTATATTTAAATATTTTTAAATAATTAAATATTATAATTAATATTTAATATTTAAAATAACATTCACGCCAATTATTGGTGTCGCTAAAATTGTGGACACATATTACATAGTAACATAGGTATGCTATCCCTGATAAACACAAACATGTTTTTTTTTAATTTTCATACCTATAGTTAGTAATAAAAAATAAGAAAACTGAATTATCAAAGAAATTACGTCTTTTTTTAATTAATAATATGAAAAAAAAATTATAGTAAATATATAAGAATATGTATAAATTTGTTTTAACTTAACAATAACTGCTACAATGTTATTATTTAAAAATGGCCAGTTAGGCACTGAAAGGAAGGAGATTTTTTAGCTTAATAAAAATAATAAATTCGAAGTTGAATCCGTATTCAGTGCACTTTCCTGTTACTTAGACCATGAAAACGGGCGAGGGCACTTAGTTTCATTGGTATTAAATAAGTATTGAATGTTTTATTTGTTTTTTATTAGTTTTATTTTTGAGTAAATTGTGGGATATCTAACATTTTACTTGCCTTTCTCCAAACATTGTCACCATAGATGTCATTGAAAGTACTATTTTTAAAATATTTTTTAAATTTAAATACATAATTTGCATATCTTATATTAGAGTTAAAATTAATAACTTTTTTATTATGCGTATACGTAAGTATTCGCTTTAATATATTTATGGTTTTTATTAGTTTAAATGATTAAAAACCAAAATATTTTTGTAATCTAGTACAAATTCTACATAAAGAACACTAATAGTGTCATAACAATACCTCCTTATGCATATCAGAGTGAGTTCTGGATCTGCAAGCTACAATTATGAATTTTAAGCAAATAGATGAGTATGCGAAAAAAATATGATATTTATAAATTTTATAACCAACTAAAGATAAAATTAATTTAGATTTTCTATTCGATTTATCAGATGGTAGTTGATTTAATGCATGTGATAATGTGAATGTAATGAGCAGAACTCGTAAGTTTATGCACTAAAAAAAACGCATAAACAAATATACAATAATGCACTAACATTTGATCAAATACGCATTAAAAATCTATTATTATAATTCTATGCACAAAAAAAAAAGCGTTTAAGAATTTTTTAGAAAAATTATCCATTTATATTTTTAAAAGTTATATTTTTTCTTCGATTACATTTTATTAAAATTATTATTAATAAACATATGAAAAATAGATTGTAATGGACACGTCAATAGAAGGAGAGTGGTAGTGGTGCGCAATAACATTGTTTTCGTGATACTGCTTTTAACTTATAAAATTTAATGTCATTAAAAAATAAAAATATTGATAAAATACTAAGATTTGATAAACAAGTTCGGAAAATTAAATAAGAATTAATTCAAACATATATTGATCTAATTATTTTTTTGATTTTCAAAAAAACGATTTCGTGAATTTACATAAAATAATATGCACTCAAAAAACTTTAAAAAAATCAACTATATGCCAAATATGCCAATACATACAAAATATGTAAAAACATGATTTATTGAACTTTAGATTTTTTATTACCATTGTTATGAAACGGATTTTTATCTCAATTAGCATATTTTCCGATGTAGCAAAGAAAACATGCAAATGCATGAACTTACGAGCCCTGGTAATGTGTATAGAATCACAAAAAAAAAAAGATTAGTTTTAATAATTTTCTTAAAATAAAATTTTAAATCCAAATAACTTAGATTTTTTGAAATAGTAATTTATTATTTGTACATTTGAGACGAAAGAAACATAATTTGTACACTAGGGTGGCCCATATTTATGAACTTACAAATTTTTAATTTCTCACCCTCCCAATTTTTTCATTACCATACAAAAGTTTTGTGAGTAAAATTTGGTGATGATTAATAATCCCCTTCAGGTGCCGCAAGAGGATTGAATATTCACCAAATAGGGTAGTTTTAGGGTTATTCTGATTTAATTCATTATATATTGCATTTAGCATGAAATTATATAGAACCTAAATTGTAGATTCAGATATTCTCTATAAAAAATGTTTTGACAACATTTTTTCGTAAATTTATTATTTTCTGTGAAAATTAGAATAAAATAAAAATTATTACCTTTTTCTGAAAAAAAAAAAAAAAAATATCGAAATTTTCCATATATTCTCTATATGATTGTCTTTACGATAACATACTTATTAATCTTCAAAGATGAAATAAAATAAAATTGTTTAACACTAATGTATGTACTAAAGCTAATTTTACAGTTATATTTGTGTAATAACCGTCCACGCGCCCGCTCGAAGATTAAATTATATCTTATCTATATTTGTATATTTCTTATCGAGCTTTTCTTATTCAGTTATTACACACTGTCACATCGTGCATTATTGTCTATTTATGCTCTGTTAATTGTTCTATGTTCATAAATCTCGATACCGTATAGCATAAATGCTTTACATTTTATTTACGAATTATATTTTGAAAAAAAGTGCATAGTTCTTTAATTTAATATTGAATATTTATTATAAAATGGCTTCATCGTCATCACATATTGTTCTACGTACGCATGATGAAGTATATTTAGTTGGAAATGTGAACAACCAAATCGTTGGCAGTAAGTTACCATCTATCAAACAACTTTTGAGTGTGCTATTTTATAATTTGAGACATGTAAAATTAAATTTGCGGGAAAGTGCAATATTGGTATATAAAGAAATAGTACTATTTTTGCAAAAACCGAGAATACAAGTTCGAGATGAGCAGCACTGTAATTTAAAATTGGAAAAATTATATCAAAACTTACGAGAGTTACAAAAATCGGCTAAAAGAGCATCAGAAAAAAATACTATAAATGTCAGTGGGTTCAAGGAAAAATTAAATAACTTATTAGATGTATCTCATTCAAATGCATTAAGTGTGATGAAAATTGAGGAAGATAAAAAATTTTTACTAATGCAAAAAGAAAAAGGAAGACCGGGTTGCATGTTGGGAACTGATAGAAATTTGGCAAAAAAAGAAAACAGGGCCTATGTCAACTTACAAAAAACCGAAAAACGTCGAAAAAGAGCAAAAATAGAAATTGAACAATTAGGTGAGTAATATTGATAAATTTATAATTTAAATAACATATTATAAACTACTATTTAGTATTTTTTTATTTATTAAAAGTATATTTAAATTTAATTTATTTAGATCACACCGTACAAATAGATTTCAATACTGATAACAATTCAACTGAAGAAGAGGTTGATATAGAAGAAGACATAATACCAAGTCCACCAAGTTCATCATGTAGTAAAAAACAGAGAGGATCAAGAGATTTTATGACTCCTAAACTACTCGCTGCATTAGATAAATGTAAGTTGAGTGATCGCGATGCTGTTCACATAATAATATCAATTGCTGACGCCCTAAGTAATGATGTTTCTAAATTAATAATAAATCGATCAACAATTCAACGTGATCGAATTAGGTTTCGAGAAAATAAAACGATTGAACTTCAAAAAAAATTTAATTTGCTAGAAAAAGAGTCTATTGTCTTACATTGAGATGGAAAACTTCTACCAGATATTACATATGGAAAATCAAAAGTAGATAGGTTACCTGTAATTGTTTTGTTTGAGGGAATAACTCAATTACTTGGTGTGCCAAAGCTCAAAAGTGGTACTGGAGAACAACAAGCAAATGCAATATTTGATATTATAAATGTAACAAATAAAGTACAAGCTTTATGTTGTGACACGACGGTATCAAACACAGGTCGCTTGAATGGTGCCTATATTATATTGGATCAACTGATATTAATTAATAATTAATATTTATAATTAATCTTTTATATTTACCTTGTAGGCGACATATATTCGAATTAGTGCTAAGAAGTGTTTTTGAAGTTAAATTAAAAATAAATACTATTGGTCCTGATGTTCCTATTTTTAAAAAATTCCAACAAGCCTGGCCCGAAATTGACTTAAAAAAGTATGAAATTGGAATAAATTATGAATTTGTAAAATCTATAGTTGGAAAAAATAAATCTCAAATTATAGACTTCTGTTTACAAAATTTTTAAAAAAAAACAATGTAGAGATGATTACAAAGAAATTCTAGAGTTGACTATTATTTTTCTAGGTGAAAACCTACCAAATGGTATAATGTTTCACTATCCTGGTGCTTTTCACCATGCCAGGTGGATGTCAAAGGCAATTTATTTAACCAAAATATATATATGTTTCGAAAACAATTTAAACTTAATGTTCGAGAAGAAAATGCATTTCGAGATATATGTATTTTTTCTAGTTACGATATACGTAGAAGCATGGTTTAGATGCCCTGCTGCAATCGAAGCACCTTATAATGACTTTATATTTTTAAAAAAATGAATCGAATACCCAGATAAAGCTATTCCTGAAACAGCTGCACATAAATTTTGTGGACACTTATGGTATCTTGCGCCGGAAAGTATAGCCTTATCATTTTTTGATTTTCGGGTGCCAACCGAAATTAAAATTAAAATGGTCGAAGCACTTAAATCAACGCAGAACAATGATGATACAATTAAAAAAAATTGTTTTGAGTAAAGAGGGTATAAAAACATTTATATAAAAAGAATTACATGAATTTGTATCACCAGAAACAGTCAACTTTTTTTCAAGATTTAAAATTTCAGCCGACTTCATAGATTTCCACCTGGATACTTGGAAAGAAAGAGAAGACTATAAAAATAGAATTTATATTTTAACAGAGTTATCAGTCATAAATTATGTTGCAGAAAGAGGCGTTAAGTTAATTCAAGAATACAATAATATACTGACGAAAGACGAAAATCAAAAACAATTTCTACTACAAGTTGTAAATGATTATACAAAAAATTACCCTGACTGTAAAAAAAAATACATTAATTCGTTCATAATTAATAGATATTTTATTTGAATATAACGTATCTAATTTTCACATTGTATTACTCCATTGAACCACTACCTATTTATTTTTAATGACATCAATATTTAATATGTACTTTTGTAGATGAACGACTTTTTTTTAAGATTAAGTTTTTCACAGAAAATAATAGATTTACGAAAAATGTTGTTTAAACATTTTTTATAGAGAATATTTGAATCTACAATTTAGGTTCTATATAATTTCATGCTAAATGCAATATATAATGAATTAAATCAGAATAACCCTAAAACTACCCTATTTGGTGAATATTCAACCCTCTTGCGGCACCTGAAGGGGATTATTAATCATCACCAAATTTTACCCACAAAACTTTTGTATGGTAATGAAAAAATTGGGTGGGTGAGAAATCAAAAATATTTAACTTTCTTAACCCCCCTACTATATAAGGGCCACCCTTTTGTACACATTTTTGAAACTTAACGAGGACAACAAGTTCAAATATTACTTAATGTTATCATAATTCGTGTGGTTAGTTACAAGTATTATTATAGGAGTGCACAATGTAAGTCAGAATTTGGTTATAGGTATTTTATTAAGCGCTTCGATTCGATTTCGAATTAATTAAAATGTCAAAAATAATGCGTCCGTCTGTTGAACATGCATTTTCCAAACATTGATGTTTCATAACAGGTGTAGGTCGAAAAACCCACATTTCAATTTATCTTAAAACTTAAAAAATAATGGGTATGGTGCAACTTGTAAGACTTGAAGGACGAGGAGAAATCGGGCGTACATAGTTCTTCCAGTAGTGGGCCAGTGGTATTATATTCTGCTTCAGAGAATTTCTATAAATATATTTAAGTAACGCACATAAGTCATAGAGTTCTTATAGCCGTTATATGAGTTGCATTGTACCGTGTATACGTTTTCTAATGATATAAATTTACGCGTTAAAACAATACCAATAAATTTTAGTTTTTATCATAAATCTTAATTAATATTATGTTTATTAATCTTATAATAGCCATAGGAAAAGGAAGTCTGTAACCGGTTTCATCACATTTCGATTACGCTATCAGTGTCGTTGCTCTCGTTGTATTCCATGAATTCCTTGTCCAGACGAACTACCATGTTGAAACGTCTCCACAACCTGTAAGTCAAACTGAAAATTGTAAAGTCAATGTTGTCAAATGTTCAAACCTTTTTTTTTTTTTTATTGCACTTACGACGAGAAAATGATGAGCCAAAACCACAGCATGCCACCCATTCCGAACGTTATGATGGACATCATGAACCCGCTGCAAATGGAACTTTCATCGTCGCTGTACGAGAGATATTCCAAAGTTTTCAACATGCAGGCAGCGAGCACGAAACACCATATGAGCACGAAGAATAACATAACTGTGAACTGTTGACAGAAACCGTGGCAATGCCTCTTTTCCCGCATCCACTGAATCATATGTATAAATTAGAAAAAAATAATTAAATATTGTTCGGTGAATTACACATGCTTGATATTTTGTTATTTTTTCTTTTATTAGTAACGTGTTTAAATTCCAAAGTGGCGATGAAGTATCGACCTCGAAAAAACGGTTCTGAACTAAGGTCAGCCGCATTGAACGTATATGTATGTATCGAGGATAAAAAATAAATCGAATTATAATTGTTGGTAATATTCATGAGAATTATATATTTTTTGACTTCTATAAAAAGTAAAAAAATAAATGAATTAACTTGGCCAGATCATTATTTGAAGCTTTTAGTGCGAAAATATTTTTTAACCAAAAAATTTGGTAAGTTGAGGTTGAACCAATATAGTTTTTCTTTTATACTGTACAATAATTTTCAAATATAAAAATATCAATCGAAAAACTGTTAAGTTTGTTGAAATAAAAAAAAAATATTTTGACATTATTTATTTCCAGTAATCTATAATTTTTGTAATAATAATATCATGATTAAAAACCAATTTTTTTTATCCTTCACTTGTAGCGCCCAATGATTATTTCTGTATAAATAAAAACAAATCTTAAAAGATATTTGGATATATTTTAAGATCTTATGTAATTGTTATCCGAATTATAATTAATACCAAAAAAATGTTCTTGATCTTAGAAGGGAGGCGATCGCTTTTGCTGCACTTCCCTAAATTACGTGACTGTCATAGTGTAGAATAATTCAATATTCGAGTTAAATTTTTATTAAAATATCGTTTACAGTATGACATGGATACTTGCGTGCATTAATTGGTTATCACCAGGGTCCGGATTTGTATAGCTTAAAAAACTTAAAATAGTATACATTTATGTATAAAAAATCTTTATACTTATGAAAAAAATATACTCTTGCACAAAATAAATGCATTTATATATATTTTTTCTTTTATGAATATATTAATCTAACTCAATTTGATAAACTTAATATCTTAAATACAGATAAAAATTTATAACATTAATTAAAGAACATTAAATATTTAAAAAATATATTCCACTAATGAAACAAATACTTTAATTAGGAACACTAATAGCAAAATAAAAATGTATTAAATTATTTTACATAGTTTCTTTGGTAAATATTTATGAAACATATTGAAATTTTATAAAAACAAAAAAAATGCGAAAAATAAAATTCCAATTTAGTTAATAATAAAACGTTTTGATTAATTAATAGGATTTATGAAATTTATTTTTATAAAATAATTCATAATAATACATTTTCCCAAGTGTTCATATTCATCTTTCTATTTCTTAATGTATATTTATTATAACTGAATAATCTTTCCACATCTACTGATATCAGTGGCGCATATATATATATATACATTTATATTGGTCACTGAGCAAGGAATGAAGTTTTCTGGAAGCTGTATTTCATTGTTTCCTGATATAATAATTTAGATAAGATTTAATACTTGATTTACTTTATTTTTGTGATATAATTGAGATATTTTAGATTTTATAACAGTTAGCTTTGTAACCTTGTATTTTTGATAAATCATAATTTAGTTTCTACATTGAAATAGAAATAAAATAATTGATTTAATGAACTTTTATATGATGTATGCTTAAATACTGCGAAATTCTTTGAATACACCGCAAAATCTAAAATATGCATTAATATGTAAAATACACTTTTTTTTATACATTCTTTGTTACAAAAATCGCCCCGATTTTTCGCTCGTATCAAACTGCGTACACTCATTACAAATATGAAAATGCATACAAATCTGGACTATAGTTATCATGATAGTACTTAGTTAATTTCACTATAATGTTATTTATACGATTATTTTACCTCGATAATAGTCAAAGGACGTTCGACAGTCTTGAACTTGTAGTGGCATATATCACAACTGCTCGATTTTGATATAGACAGCCAATGTTCGAGACACGTTACGTGAACGTAGCCATGTGTCCCGACACACTTGCACGGTGAAATCGTAGTTTCGTTTTTATCATCTAGATAATACAAATGTATTATTATTGTTAATTATTGTGGTACAATACTAACATTATACAAATTAACAACATACAAGATGATATTATTATTGTAGTTGCTTGTAAATTAATTATTTTCAAAAAAGTATGTCAAGAGTTGTATTACAGTAAACACAAAATTAAACTTATATAGACAAAAAATATTTATTTTTTTTTCGCTAACAATAAGTGTTCATGAATTGAAGGTGGATTCACGTGCACGAAAAAAAAACCATGGTTATAGGTTGTATTTTTATAGGTGCTCCTATGTACTAAAATTATTGTTTTTTCCCTCCCTACCGTAACGCATATTTTTAACATATATCAATAAATACTTATGTACTTATATTCAATCTGTAATAGTTTTGCAGCAGCTTTTGAAGCTAAATAATCGTGGTGTACAGATTATCACTTGGTGTGAATATCAAAGACTGCAATTATTTCAATCGACTGATATGCAACGCGCAGGGAAAAGCAGGGACATTTAGCGGCCAATTTGTTATTTCTTGGTTTAATACCGAGTCCACACGAGTCGTGTACTTGACGAACATTTGTCATCCGTAGACATTCGCCGCATACGACAATGGAGTACACGCCCGAGTATTCAGTGTTTGCCACCTTCCCGTGGATTGTCGGCAAAGTTGACACGAGTCGAAAGAAATTAACTCAATCAAACTATATAGAATAAATAATATTTAATAAAATAATGAAAAATACAATAAAAATTAGTAAACAGTTAACACTCGTAAATTAATACATATCTACAAATAGTTACATAAACAAATGCTTAGCTTGAAGTATTATTATATTTGTAAAGTAAGACCGGTTTCGAATTAAAAATGTATCGCCAGATTTAAACAAGTTAATGAAATCGCAACTGAATATGAAAAAATATTGGAATGAAATATAAAGTAAACATAAAGAAAATTGGTAATTTTACATAGAGATAATTTATTTTGATAGGTAATCAAATAATATTTAATTAATCGTCGGTTCATTTTCACAACTCAACAAAGTATAAATATAAATTGCCATCTGATATTTATCAATTAATTAAATTAAATTAAATTAACAACAAAATAATGTAAATGACAATATATCTCAAAGCAATCACTGTCACGTGTCGATTGCGAAGAATTACACTGATGAATATTTGTATATATATGACTCGTTGGAACTCAGTTATTCATGTAGATCGACGATTATTCAGTATTCGTATACGTTTTTTAGGCCCGTTTCACACGAGCACATCGTCACTGATAAATATACATTGTTTTTAATTGATGTCTACACATGTTGTTTCGCCGCGAAATTGTAGTGTTACTAGCACATGTATGTGATCGGTCATCGCTAAAAATCGTGTTACAGTTGGAAATACGTTAAAATAGTACATTCATTTCTTGCGGACCACACGGCAGGTGACCACAAGTCTAGTAGCCCTCAGAAAGTTTAAGAAGTTATGTGTCCTAGAATAACAGATTGGGATATTTATAGAATATAATATAATAGAGTATAAAAAGGATGTCTGATGGCTTGCGATGATAATTTGTCATTGTGCGTAATAGTATCAGTAGTACCAAGTAATCACGATGAATGAAAATATACCAATTGCATATTATTATTATTATTTATGGTGCTTCTAGATTTTTGAGAAGTATTTGAGGGTATTAAAGATTGAGAACCTATGATCTGAGGGGCCATAGATAGGTATATTTTAAGAGCTCATAAATGCACACCAAAAAGTTACCCGTAAATTTTATTTCGTGTGACGAATTTAATGTTATTTAACGTTGGATCCGTTGGATGTTCTTGTATATTGATAATTTTATTAATTAAAAACAATACGTTTACAAATAAACGGTGTAAATATTAATGATACAATTGTAATATCAAGTTTGGTTCGGAAAAAAACAGTTCATATTTATTATCTTTCCATTTGAAAACAGCACTGTAAATTTCATCTATGTATTAAGTATTGCATAATTATAGATTTGTCGAATCTTATAAACCATACACATGCTGACGTTTTCGACCAACCAGCTTCGTGTATCGATTATAGGCGTGCACACGGAGGGTGTCAGGTGTGTCCGGGCACTCCCTGAAATGTTGTAAATGGAGCCCTACAATATAAGTCTAAGAGAAAAGGGACCGTATTTTAACTGATGTTGTTCAAATTAAATGTAATTTATTCCAGAATATTTGTTAAAAAATAAATTATATTTTTTAATAGACAAAATAAAGTTAAGTTTTCTAAATGTTCGCGTATAAAGTAGTTATAATATAACAGCTAATGTACGTTCAGCAGCAATGGACAATGGACTAGAAAAGTACAAATCATAAATGATTGTAGCTATCAGATAAAATATATGAGATTCAAAGTAAACATTGAGACTAATATACCATAATATTAAATAAAAAATTAAAGTTATATTTATTAAATTATTTATATATTATAATTTATTAAATTAACCTACACGTTTTGTTCAGATAGGGTCCAAAAATATAGCAGATACCTTCTAAAATGCGCATGCCTATGATATCGATGGTTTAGTGCACAAGTGTAGTGACAATTTTTGATGAAACGGGTCAAGTACTTTATACAATTCCTCAAATTTGTCTCAAATTTAACATTGTAAAATGTTAAATGATATAATTATATGATGAAAACTAGATAACGAATAAAAAAAAATAAATAAAACTCCTATCAACTCGCAAAGGGGGGCTATTTTCAATTTTTATTAAAATGTGAAATTTTAAATGTCTGTAGGTATTGAACAATTTTCTATTAAATGCATTTACTGTACTTGTGCATTTTTGCATCGATATAATATCTTTAATATTTCGTGGTTTTTTTTGATATTAATAAAATATAATAACAACAAATTGCACGTACCGTCGTAGCAAATGCGACAAGCAAAGAATTGTTCGACCTCAGAGTTGTCCTGCGCGTCTTCGTTATCGAGTGGCATGTTTATTATCACTTCCATATTATTCATCGTAAACAGGCCTTTGAGCATTCGACTAAAAATCACAAGCAAATGTAAATAAGTACAATATTTTGTGCATAAATTAACGATCAAAAACAAAAAAAAGAAGCTTTAAAAAAAAAAATTATATGAGCTTAAACGCTTTGACGGCGATATTGCCGTGACGATAGACTAAGTAATTATAATATGTTTCAGTACAGTTGAGAACACACGATGTATATATTAAAACATTATTGAGGTAAATTCAAATTGTGTAAATGATTTATACACTTATGCCGTAGAAAGTATAATGTTTCGAGTACGTTTGTTTTCACAGTGCCAATATTTATTGGCATTGTTATGATTTTTTTTGTGTTGCCGATAACCATGAGCTGTAGTTTATTTTACTTGTTGCTATTGTTTATTTTTTGTCGAGAAATAATTGTATAAATTGCTGTTTTACATAGAAAATATGCCATTTAGGTACTTAGTTTTATTACATTATTGAATATTTCAATATATAATTAACTACCTTGACGTTATTATTACGATGAATGATCTAGAACAGGGGTGGCCAACCGGTAATTGCGAGATGAATTCGAGTCGATCACGGCACCCTTTCGCATTTCCTTGAGTTTTCGAATTTTTTCAGAAACAAATAAAACATTAATTTTTTTTTTTTTTGTATATCTCGCGAATATAAAAATTAGATTTAGAAAAAGGCAATAAATAACTATGAAAGATAAGATTATACAATAATATCCAGTAACTATCGTATAGCCACAATTACATTGTACTCGTATGTACCACGCATATACATATAATATATAGGGTGTTTCAAAAAGAACGCAGGATTTAAATCTGCTATAAATTGAATTTATTTCTTTTAAAAAACATAACAAATATATCATTATCTTTAGGAGAAGTTAAGGTTTAACAGTGAAAAATTATATTGGGCATATGAACCTCTCTAATAGCCCTACAGGCGATTATTCTTTCCATACAATTTACCATCACTGGATAACACATCGCCCCATTAAGTTCGTTGAGGACACGACGAATTTTTTTGCTTTAAGTTCCAAGAAATTTCGAACTTTGTTCTGGTAAACTTTTGACTTAGTATATCCCCATAAGAAAAAAATCACACGGCGTCAAGTCGCAAGACTGAACCTATCGGACCAGCATTGAGAGTACGACCTTAAAGTTAAGTTTCCATTTCAATTTTAGACTAGCTTTGCTTCGAATTTAAAACGAACAGCATTTTTAGTATACATATTGTAGTATTCAATATTTTTAAATTTAACTATAAAACTACTCTTATCGTCAGTATTTAGAAATTTTTTTTACTTTATATAATTTATTCAATGATTATGTATACTAAAAATATACTTGTAATAAAAATACGAATCAGAACAAATAAAAATAAATAATGTTTACTGGTCAATAATGATATAATAATGACAAAGTATTGTTAAATATATAAAATAATTTATAATTTATATAACATATATATATACAGTCAACTCGCGATATAACGAAATTCGATATAACGAAAATCTTGATATAACGAATAAAACTACCGGTCCCTTGAAAATATCGCGGTATAACGAACAAATGTAATGTATTTTGGTCCCCTCGATATAGCGAAGCGTTTTTGATCAAAACTCTCGCGATGTAACGAATTTTTATAAATTTGGAGCTTTCTATTACGAATTTTTAATTTTAATTAAGATAAGATATATGTCTCTAGTGTATAACTCTATGAAAAATATATAAAAATAAGTATGTTGCTATTACCACATAATAGATTACGAAGTTTTTCTGATGATTATCATGCGATAGTACACTTAAGTACAGTATCGCAATTAAGATAAGACTTATGTCGATTAGTGGCTCTACGCAAAATGTACGTAACATACTATGTAACATATCGGTACCGTTTTAGTTCTGTTCGTTGTGTTAAACGTGACCGTACATTCGAAAATACGTCGCGTTTTACGAGTTACAATTATGAGTTCAAAACGAAAGTGTTTGTCAATTTCGGACAAGAAAAAAATTATTGAAGAAATCGAGAGTGGTAAAAAGAAAAAAGAAGTCGCAGATAGTTTTAAAATTCCTTTTTCGTCACTTTCTACAATTTTGAAACAGAAAGAAGCAATTCTTAATACAACTGACGCACAAAGTAGCCGGAAAAAGAGACGACTAAGTGAATTTCCCCGTATAGAACAATGTTTATTCACTTGGTTCAATCAAGTTAGGCAGCAAAATATTCCCGTGAGTGGTATTTTAATCAAAGAAAAAGCTAAAAGTTATGCTGAAATGTTTGGAATCTCTGATTTTAATGCTAGTGACGGTTGGTTATCTAATTTTAAAAAGCGACATAACTTGGTGTTCAAAAAAATTTGTGGAGAAAGTGCAAGTGTCGATGAAGATATCTGTAATGACTGGCAGATGAAACTTCAAGACTTATTATGTGAGTACGATCCGAAAAATGTGTTCAATGCTGACGAGACAGGACTGTTTTTTAAATGTTTACCTGACCGAACACTAACGTTTAAAAATGAAAAGTGCCATGGAGGGAAACTTAGTAAGGAGCGAGTCACTTTACTTTTTGCGGTAAATATGGATGGATCGGAGAAGTTAAGGCCTTTATTTATAGGCAAGTCCGCTAAACCTAGGTGCTTTAAAAATGTCAAATCTTTGCCGGTGACGTATAAAAACAACAAAAAATCGTGGATGACATCCAAATTGTGGAACGAATGGCTTGAAACTCTCAATAATGACATGCGAAAACAACATAGAAAAATTATAATTTTTGTTGATAATTGCACTGCACATAACAACCCCCCAACTCTCTCTAATGTACGAATTGAGTTTCTTCCAGCAAACACAACCTCGAAACTCCAACCTCTGGACCAAGGCATTATTAAAAACTTCAAACTTCTATATCGAAAGGAAATTGTATCTGAATTTTTGGCTTGCTTGGATAATAATGATTCTCCGAAAGTAACCGTTTTGACTGCTATAATAATCAGCCACAAAGCTTGGAACAATGTGACTACACAAACAATTCGCAACTGCTTTAGAAAATGTGGATTTGTGAAAACTATTGATAATGATGAAGAAGAATTCCCTATCACTTTAGAAGTTGACACTCAACATAACACATTATCGACTGTTCTAGACGATCAATTGACGTTTGAAGATTATGTTGCTATCGACGATGATTTGGCTGT